ACAGATGCTCTTGGGGACTGCATTTGTATCAGTAATGGCTCCCAGGGAATGAATGCAAGCAAGCAGTAGCACAGGACTTGCTCCAGCACCAAAATCAGACCTATACTGCCCCATCCTGCCGCTGGGACATAAAAGCTCAGCTGACAAAACCCCACATCTATTAGGTAACTCCTCCTCTGCTGCAATCAAGGTCCTTTGCAAACAGTAAGAAAATAAGTGGTGAAATATGTTTGTAAGTTGTAATAACTCTTAACTGTGAATTTTAGGATCTGGTCCGTTGCTAAGTTGGTCAGTGCTACTGATGTCCAAGAGGAGAAATTTCAATGGGAATATGGCTGAGAAGGGGGATACAGTTGACCCCATAGCCATGGCACAGCTCCATCAGAAATATGTTCCAATTGGGGTCACCTGTACTCTTTGACTTCTTGTAATACCTTCAGTGTCATTTGGAATGTTTAATAATGGAATCTGACCTCAGCACAGGACAGGTAAATGCAAATGATGCCTGTCTAGTTATCAGGGTATTCAAGTGGAATGTTTTTCACAAACATACTGAAAAAAGGTTTAAAATATCTGAGATTTAACAGCATTGAGTTCAATAAAGACTCTCTAAACAGAGTGTAAGCAGAGTGAAAAATCAGACTGTTGTTGAGAAAATCAGAATGTTCTTTGCAAGTATTCCCTAAAAAAAGGTCACTTAATATAACTTAATGCGGTTTTTAAAATTTGCCTAAGTTCAATTTTATAATTTAATGATAGATTTTTTTTAAAAGTTCATTTGAAATCTCCTAACATTGAAATGGGTGGCACAAAACTCATCTTACAGCATTAATGGTCTTTGATTTTAATTTATTAGAGAAGATGTTTTTGTTTGTTTAGGTGGATATAACCCAAAATCCTGTATTTTTCATTTTGTTCAGAGAACTAAAATATCTTCATATTGCTATTCATTTTACCAAAGTTCATATATTCAATATACTCAAGTTGCTTATACTAACATTTTGATATATAACAAATCTGTTAAATTAGTCTGTGTAGACAGGATAGAAGCTACATTTCCATGCCAAAACCATGATTTTTACTGTGTTTGCAGTCTCGTCAATCCAAACTGACAGCCTCATAGTTTGCAACAGCAGCATCTGACTACTTGTTGAGCCCCTTTTATCTGATTTGTTGATTAACTGCTTAAGTACCTGCAAGCCAGTTATGTCAAATTTGTTTGGTCCCTTAACTCTGCTGAATAATCTCTCATATTGGTCCTGAGTGCCATGGAGTGGCAGTACTTGCATAAAGTAGGTGAATTATAAGAGGAGAGATGGAAAGACTCAGAATTCCTTTGCATTTACATTTAATTTAATAGTTTAACTGTAAGAGCTGAACACCACAATGCCTGGATTCCATTCAGGGTTCATTTCAAATGTCAAGTACACCACACTTGGGTGCTGTCTCTTCTAATCTCTCATCATCTCTTTTGTGTACAGACTTGTGCAGCAACCAATCCCCTTCTTGAAGACAGCATGTCTAAAAGCAATAAGTAGAATACCCCCACCAGCTGGTATTTGACAGGGAATGATTTATGATTTTTTTGGTAGGGTTGTTGCTCTCTTTTTCAACACCACTTGCTTGTTCAAAGAGATTGCTTTTTGTGTTAACTGTTTTGGCTCAGAGAACCTTTCATAAATTCTTACTATATTTTTAATTTGTTTTGACTTTTCTCCTCTTCTTCTTTTTTCATAAGTCTTCTTCAGATACCCCACACAGTACCAGCTTCAGAATCAAGAGGGAATTTATGGTGGAAACATATACATCCCTGTGAAAATTGCTTTAAATCAGCAGTCATTTTTCAGGCAGTCTCTTCAGATCGCTTTCCCTGGTTTTCTAGTCATAATGTAACATTTTCCCTGTACCAATCAGCTACTAAATTGTCTATGCTGCATCATATTCATTACACCTTTTATGGAGAGAAGATGGCAATGAACTAACTAGCTATGGTGTGTTGGATCCTCGTTTACCCGCATTCCATTTTGTAGGAGTATTTGTGCAATTTATTAAGTCCAGATTCCCCCTCTTTCCAATGCATATGGACAGGAAGAAAGTGAGAAAATGTTAGCTGTGAGGAAGGTGTTCCTTCAGTCAACCCTTCTGTCACATACTGCTGTCTTGTCTGGATCAGTGGCTGTCAGTTCAAACCACAGTGGCTGAAATAAATTCAAGAGCTGGTTTCACCTTTTGGCTGCGATCATTCCATTGTGTTAGTATCTGACATGCCCCATCATTATCAGAAATGGGTATCCTGCCCTAGCATAGCAATACAATTTATGATCTAGTAGCACTCCTTCAGCCAGTGCTCCTTCCATCTCGTGGAAGCAGACAAGGTGAATTGGCTGGTACCTGACAAATGTCCTTTCCTTGGTTTCCTTCTTAGTACTTTGAAGCTGTATTGGTTTCATCAAGGAGACAAAGCACGAAAATCTTCACACAGATCTAAAAGTAATCTTAAGGCAGGTACATTAACTCATTTTTCTCAAGGAATTTCCCATCTGGTTTTATTGAAGGTCTCTGTGTCCGACCTTTCCTTTTTACTCAGCAGGAGTGGGGAGTTTGTGCCGTTCTTATCGGAATGTGAAGAGAGGCTTCTGCGCTCCAATGCTGGTAGTCCACATACCCATTTCTTAGAATCAAAAGGATTTCCCTGTCTTAATTTTTTGTGTCATGTCTCTGTACAATCTAGACCTCACACAGCCTCATCCCTCCTGCATTTTCCACTTGACTTCTTTCAATCATATTTTTTTATTTATAGCAATGTCCTGACTGACTGATGCTTTAAAGTTACAGCTGACCCTTTAATGTCAACTGAGTAAGTTACCAGGGAAGCAGTGACTACTTCAGCTGTGGTGATGATGTTGTTTTCAAACTTTCTTCAACTAATGAGCGGTTATAAGTAGTAATAAAGATGTTTGTTGGGGCCACATGTCCCTTGGAAACACTCAGCCCATGCTAATTACGGTGGGTTGGTGAAGAGGTCTGGGCTCATAAGTAAGTGTGTGGGAGGGGGCATAGAACAGTAATGGTGAGAGGTATTGAAAATAGTTGCAGGAAATGTTAATTATACAGCTGGTTCACATAAGCTTCCTCCTCCCATTAAAAGCAAAGCTCATTTTGAAGACATTTATAAAATCTGTGCTTTAGGAATCAAGCTCCCTTATGTCTCTGTAACTGGTAATACCCAGATATATGAAACTGCAATGGGATCAACAAAGAACTCATCTGTGCAAGGTTGTTTTAGTCTCAATTAAAGCTGGAAGTAAAATTTTGCGTGACTGTGCTTCCACATTAGGGCCATCACACAGCTTTGCTCTGTGGATTTAATTCAGATTCTGCAGAGGAGATTTTTCTGCTGACTTCCATGACCTTTGGACCAAGTCTGCCTCTGGTTTGTTCCTGAAGAGCCACATCCTGTCTGACAGACAGACAGTACACTTCCTCAGGGAACTGTGCACCTGTAGGACCTGGTTCTGCAGTTGTCACAGTGTGAGTGACAGAGCAAAGCTAGTTACTTGTGGATGTTTACATGGCTATTAAATTCTCTTAAGTTTCAATGAAAAGTTACAGTGAAGGGAAGGTATACAATAAAAATAAGATGATGAGAGAGATGTGCAATTCACTAATTCTTGACTTATAACTAAACAGTATATATATATGTATATATATATATATATATTTGTGTTTTTCATATTGCTAAGAGATTGCCTGATATTTACTATTCAAAGAAGCATAACACTGTAGGATAAAAGCTGGCTATTTTCTGCTTTGTTCCTTAGCCAAACTCCAGAGCCAAAAAGCTTTTAAGATGTAGATAAATCTGACAAATACTTAACCTGGAACTTGTGCTTATGTGTGCTTCATAGTCACAAAAGTGTGAAATCCCTAGTGGCAGTTAATGCTCTGAGAATGATGTCTGTAGGAGAAAGAGTGTACTTGCCTGTTAGTATGTCTGCAACACTGCAGATAACTGGAAGAAATTAATAAATAGAGATTAAATTTTCATGCAGACACTGGGAGAAAATGTCCTTTTGATCCAAACTAGAATCTGGACAATTTGAGATACAAGAGTGAGTTAGAAAAAAGAACTTTTGAAATATGTAATTCTTGATGTCACCCATGTTTACCCAGTTGATAATTTTTCTTTTGTGTGTTTCACTTATTTTGAAGATTTCATAGCAAGTAGTGTTCCCCAAGGTTTAAGAAGCATTCATTCACTGCCAAAAATGGTATATGAAATTATACCCTTCAGAGAAATAGGTTTTTCCCTGATAAAATGCAAATAACACATTTTAAAAAGCATCATATATAGAAAGTGTGCTGCAGGAAATTGAAGTGTATGGAATGTCCCCACCTATCTTCTCTAAGGACTTCTTCAGCACTTGTTTATTAGAAACCTCCTGTCAATAGAAGATGTCTGACCATTGTCACATACTGAAGAGCATTTTATTTCCAAAGTTAGAAATTGTTTGATAGACCATGTTAAGTGTTGATCAGCCTCTGGTCATCCAGCTTCAGTGAAACTTGTGAGATGATTAATTGTTTTTCTTCAGGGCAGCTAAATTGCAAAAGCTTCTGCAAAACTGATTTCTGTAACTGAGAAGGAGTTCCGAGTCAGCTAATGCGTCTCGATGGTATTGAGGATGAATGTTGATGGAAAATATACTCATTTGTTCATAAAAATAACATTCTAGCAAAATATTGATGTGCTGTAATCTCTTTGAATGTACAAGAAGTGATGTAACTCAGTGTGCTCAGTAACCGTGTATCAATTGCAGAAATCAGTAAATCAATTGTTTAGACCCACTTTTACCCAGATGCATAATTTTGTGTGTCATACAGGTGGAAGATTTTAAAAGGGAGTCTATCATCCTTACACTTCAGTAGTTAAACAGTTTTAAGTACAAGCATGTGCTGACCACCAGCACGCAAGGAGATTATATGTAGAAGAATACCTTTTGATGTTATTATATTTAGCTTGAGTTGGTTGTATGTTTGTCATGCTATTCCAGTGTGTTTGCATAACCAATAAGGACACCAGAGTTGACTATTTATGTTTATTGAATAATTCATATCAAGTAAACACTTTTGGAAGTCTGACCACAGAAAGTAAAAGCATTCCTTTGAGAGAAGTCAGAAATCCTCACTGGAAAGGATTTCTTCTTGCTTTATTAAATGTCTGAGGAGAAGGCGTGATTTCAAGGGGCATGACTGAAGTGTGGACACACCAGGGTGGGAGTTCTAGTGTGGGCTGTACACAGTCAGGGGGATCACTGCTGTGCTTGAGATGTTCAGGGATGTATTAACCGTTTGCACTCTGTAGCATCTTAGGTGAAAAGGGTTTTCCTGTGCCAGTTCCAAGTCAGACCATCAAGTCATTCATTTCTTTTGTTCCAGTTGAAACTGTTCCTGTCTCTCTATAGTGCTTACTGTCTGGACAGATTGTAGTGTACAAGGACTCAGGTGTCCAGAATGTAATCATTTAGAACTGAAAAACTGCTCTATTTAATTGTGAAACAATTGGCATATGTTTTTTCTCCCTCACTATTTACTGATTTCACTGATGTGAGAGGAAACCATATAATTATTCTATTTCAGTAGCATCAGAACAGAAATTTATGAGCCTGTTTCAGTCATTTAGGAACACACAGTTGGATTATTCTGGGATTCCTGAGAAAATAAACTCTCTTCCTAAAGTGGGGGAATTGAAGATTCTCAGCCTGTTCCATTCATATGGGTCCTTTAGTTCCTTTGCTTTAAGTGTGTGACAAAGCCATTAGCTTGGATGGGGACATTAACACACTGAAAGGTAGGTGCAGAGGTCAGCAACAGGAAGCCAAAAATGAGTGAACAGAATGTTTTGGTGATCTGGCAATTTACTTCACCAAATGCAAGTGCTACACAATTATTTTCTCATTCCTTTTTTTCACTCTCCAATGCTGAGCTCTTTCCTGGGTGCTGACGCTTTTCTTCTACCCTGTCTCTGCTAACATCTTCTACTAAATCAAGCAACAAGCTGCCTTTGTGACAGGTGAATGACACCTGATGGCCTGTGTCATCTGAGCTGTCAGAATTCCAGTGCCATTTTCCAGGATGCTGGTGTTTCTCACTGTATTCTACCTCATAATTCCAGCCTCTTTTGCTAGGATGCTGGTGCTTGTACATTGGATACCTTTTGCCTGGATGTTTTTTTTTTGATAACTCATTCATGTAGGTTAGCTGTGCCCTAGGGCTGTTAGCAAACTGATCCAACTGTGACTTTCTGCCAGGAGGCTGTTGTTTTTTCAGCTCCAGATAGACATCAAGGTCATCTTCCATCTCTCTTTTTCCTGGATGCTGCCTCTTCTGAATGTCTCCATAAGATGTCTCTTCCTCAATAGCTCTTTTTCCAGGATGCTGTCTCTTCTTCAGGTTACTTACATACTTTTTCCCAGGATGTTGTCTTTTGGAAAGCCATTGTAGCAGAGGGGCATTTGATTCTGACCAAGGAAAAGAATAACATTAACAAGATAATCCTCCCTAAGGAAGTTGTTATAGGAATCTGTGGAGCAGGATCATAATCTGTTGTTCTTTGAAAGCCAACTCAATATTTCCAGCTACCAGTCATAACACTATTAGTATCTCTTACTCATTCTTAAGCTCTTTTTAACATTTCAGGTCTTGGATCGACACAACCAATTCTCAGCATTGATGTGAAGAGGGATGATGGCTTTTCCTCTGGGCACTTGGGGCCAACTCATCTTCCACTCTGGAAGGGCCCTGTGCTCCTGTGCACCTCTGTATTGTTTCTTGCAATCCCTGAGTCTAATCTTCCACTGCTGTGACTACTGGTAGCAGAGCATTTACAAGGTGGGAGGTGCATACGCTGGAGCACCCTCAAGCATTCCCAGCCACAGAAAAAGCCTGCCTCTGTAGGGGGGTAGGAACCAGTGGATTAAGGCAGTAGGTGAATGGTAGCACCCCCACTTCGAATTTACATTAGGTACAGAGTCCACAAGTGCAGAACGTCCTTCATGGGTCCTCTTCCCTAGGGAAGTACCTGCCAGACAAGCAGGTTTTCTGTGACAGGCTTCTACCCTTTTATTATGCAGCAGCTGCTTAGCGATAGTACAGCCTTTCCTGAGCAAAGAGATCTTAGAGAAGAAAGCATCTGTGAAAAACTGTCAGTCAGTGTATTGCAGCAGCCCTCTTATCCTTCCCCTCCCCTTAATTCCAGAGCTAAGTATGGACTTTAGAACCTGGAAATCATACCTTGGATCTAGTGATCTCAGCCAAGTGCTATCACATCACCAAATGGGTGTCCCCAGTGAGATATATACCTTTATTAATATCGTCTTCCTTTTCTGCTTTCTTGAGGACAGACTGAAGAATGAGGCTTTCAGGTCTCTGAAGGATGTCATCCAGGGGACTTTTTACCATGTTTTCCCTTTCCTCTGGAAGGAGATGTCCCCCGTTGAAGCAAACACCACACAAGGTCAAGCAGAGGAGTAGCAGGGGCAGCTGGATAGATGGCATTGTGGGACAGGATTCCTGCAACTTCCATTGGACAGAGAACAACAGGGAAGGAGGATCAAGCTAGCAATAACAGCAATTTTTCCAGACACTGAAAAATAAATATGGCCCTGCTGCAGATCTCTTAGGGTCTTTCCTCATTTCGGTTACTAACCTCTCGGTTTATTTTTTATCCTCCAAAGCATCTAAATTCTTCATAATTAAAGCCAGGTAGTTGATAATTTTTCTGGCAGAATAAATATGATATGAACTGCCTGAAGCACAGGTGATTCTGAAAACCAGTGATTTTACTCTGCCTTCTGCCAAGGGGCAAACGTAATTTCCCCCTTGAACTCTGTATGCACAAGGTTCAGGCATCTATGCTTGCTATTCCCACGAGGCAATTCCCTTTGCTAAGGGTTCATTTTAAAATACTGAGATTAGCAGCACCTCCATTCCACCTTTAGTTAAAGCCAAACCTAAATAACCCACTAGTTTTTTAATAACCCTATCTTTTTCTATACATTTAAAGTAGCCACATGCCTGGGTATTTGTCAGGCTAAGATGTCAGTTATGCTCTGTGAGGCAGGGAGATTTCTTGGATGGAAAGAAATGAGAGAAGTACCTTATATTCTTTTCAGAGGCATAATAATAATAATTGTATCCTCTATTACCTCTTGCCCAGATACCAAGTGTTTTTCTATTTCTTCTAGCTAGCACTGAATTCCTAACACACTTAGGGATTAATTTTACAGTAAGCAGAGTTGCTTCAGTAGAATGGAATACATCTTTAATACTACTATAGCAGTCATTTAGCTTAATTATATCTTCAGAATATAAAAGAAATGCACAATTTCATGAAGTCCTACAAATTTTCCAAAGAGAAAATAAGTTCATTACCTTTGTTTTTGGCAGGTTTTTATCAGTTCTGATGAAATCCTTGAGCAATAGACCTAAGAACATCATATAGGCAATTTGACTCAGAGCAGTCTTTAGACAGAAAGGTAGAATCTGATGAAAATGAAATTATTTGATAAATTACCTGATTTGTAGTTTCAGATTTTTGCTTGATGCATCATCTGCCAAGTGCTTTAAAGCTGTTCGTGCACCTGAGCTTCAGAGTTGTCCTTTTGCTGCTGCAGGCACACGGAGTGTCCAAGAGAAGCGCTGCCGTGTGCTCTCTGCATGGCTCACGTCTCTGTACTTATACGGTTCTGCCTCTGGACCCTTTATGCAAACAGCTCTGAGGTAAATTAGGGGATATGATGTGTTCTTTTTTTTTTTTTTTTTTAACTGCTCTCAGAGAGCTGCATTTTGAATGCATTTTAAGATTCACACAGTTATCTGCTGGCCCCAATATATTCATGCTCAACTCCCAGAAATAGTTATTTTCCCATTCTCTAAAGAGATTATGTTGAATTTTATGTAACTCAGCATGAGGAAAAGGAGGTTTCCTTTGCTTAACAAAACTAAGATTGTTTGTCCTCTGTTAAGCAAGTGTTTTGGAGCAAAAGCAGAGAGGTAGGTAATTAATTAGGTTAGGGGGGAAAGACAATGGCAAAAATGTAATGGATTCTATTTAAATAAGTTTATACCATGGCTTCTTATTCTGAATGACACTATACAGTTTCTGGCTCACAATTCCATATTTTTTTGGCATAGCCTTTAACAAAGAGTATTTTAGAATATGCGGTGCATAGCATTAAATATTAGAATATGTTTATGTTGCTGCTATGTGTTTCAAAAAGCATTATATGATTGTAACTGGAAATACAACTCCCTGCCTTTAATTCATCTGTCTACTTAAGATACTTCTGATACAGGGGCACAACTGCTTCACATTCCCTAGGTGTTGTAACTCCTTAAGGTCTCTCAGGTACGACACCTGAGTTTAAACAATTACTATATTGCCCTACAAATGAAAGTGAGCATTGATGAAACTGACTTGTTTCATTCTCATTAAAATCTCTTCTTGACACTTTTGAGCTTGCCTTTAGAGAGTGTGGGTGAAGTCCTGTATTAAAAATACATTCCCTTGCAAAGCTTCTCAGCAGGTGCAAAATTATATTCACAGTGCAATACCCAGGACTTCCAGTCTGGCCAGCTTTGCCTCTTTGCTCAGATTTATTTTATCTTATTTTGGACTTGTTCAGTAGAGTTTTAATGCTTTGTTTGAAGGAAGAAAGTTAAAATTAAGCACCTCAACGAGTTGGGGATTTTTAATGAAAAATGTCCTTTTCCTATTTCACAGCTGGAAAACTGTCTGTTTTTAATACGATATACTTCCTTTTAGAGTTCTGTTTTGCTTTTTTCCAGATACATTTTTTTTCAGTTTTATTTTCCCCACAGGTGATTTTTCTATTTAAAAGATTTCTGGAGTTTTATTTTATAAGTGTAAATGTGCTTTCCTCCCCTTTACTACATGATTACTCATGGCACTGAGATGAATTCATGGGTAGGAGGGAGAGTTTGTTTTCTCAAACTCCAGAGTGTTCCAAGCTATACCTTTTTTGTCTTGTCACAAGTGCATTGACACCCCAGACTTGCCCAGAACTTGTGTCAGCAGAGGGTTTGGCTCCCAGTCCACATCTAAGTCTGTGGTAAGTTCTAGAATTGCACAGAGGTATTGAACTACCACATTTCACACCTAAATACAGCATTTCAGCACCACTGTGATCCTCAACCCCTTTGTCCAACAGCTGTATTTTCTTATGTGTGCATCAAGTCCCTTGATCTTTTTTATCAGCTCTGTTGAGGAAGTTCCTGATTTTTCTTTTAAACATTCTCAAGGGAATCTCAGCTTCTCAAGGGGCTTCTAAATGAAGAAACTTGGAGGCAGACAACTCCCTGAAGCCAGAGTCAGACCCATACATGTGATCTCTGAGGACTGAGGTCTGTGTTGCTCCCCTCTCCAGCCTGCATGTTGTTTGTGTTGCTGACTGCAGTCACTAACCACACATTCCCAGGAGCCTGGTGCCTCCGCTTGTTTCTGCCATTTCAGTGTTGGTGTTCATAGGAATGGGGCCTTAGCGTTTGGCCGGTCACTGGGCACACAGTTGGTCCCTAAATAGATCTCATAAGTGAATAATGAAAAAATCTGCTGCTAACCTTAGTCTCATCTCTGTTTTAAAGAATATAGACACTCATTTTGTGCAGTTAGTCAGCCATTAGTGCAGTTAGACTCACATTGTGAAGTCAGGCAGAAAGTTCTCCTTGGCAGATTTTTTAATTTTTACATCTTACTTTGACTGCCTTGCTCTTGTCACTGTTGCAGATAAGTAACTAAAGTACATTGCTCATTTTTAGTGTGGCCATCCCTCCAGGAATCCTGAAATATAGAAGTTGTTATGGGAACTACTTTTTTTACCTATAGGAATAAAAACTACTCTTGTTCGGAATTAGTGGCTCACTGCATTTGTTACCAGTTTCACTAGGCGATGCTGAATTTTAAGTGGTTTGCCCTTTGTCACAGAGCCATAGTTTGAGTTAGGAAGTGAGACCAGAATCTGGTCACTTAGCATTTGTTTATTCCAAACAGGTTTGGTTTCTGGTAGAACCTCACAAGACACACATCTTTCTCATTTAAAGGGTTACGTATATGACATTACTTCTGTGTGGAAGAATGAGAGAAATACCTCCATTGACTACTTAAGGTATCCCAACTGTACACTGTCACTAGGGCTGTAGTTTCAATAGTCTCATCTCTTTAAATAACTTTATCCTCTTGGATATTTCCTGAATTGTATTTCTTGCAATGACTACAAATCTAAGCTGTTCTGTCTGAACCTCCTCTTGTTAACAGTGCTGTGAATTAGGGATGACTTATTTGCTAACAGAAATGAGAGGCAAATCAGCTCTTTTGTTTTCTCTGGAAAATGTAAAAAACAGTTTGTTTATGTCACTCCTCCCAGTTTATTCCTTGATTGAGCTACTCAGGCAGAAAATTAGGAAGATGGATATTAGTAACGGGTGAACAACTCTCTCTTTCCATGTGATCTTCTTAACATGATCCTTCCTGTGTAAGAACAGGTAACTAGTTTGCCCTGGAGGAGGATGTATTTTTGTGAGAGGTGTAATTCCAGCTTTTCTCCATTTTTTAATGACATCAGAGTGCCAGAGTGTGTACAGCCACAAAGGTCTTTAGATAGTTTAATATTAGACCCATAGTACAGTTTTACAAGGGAAGCAAGCCTTCAGGAGAAAAAACCTTTCTTAGACCTGAGGCAATGCATTCATATCTGAAAGTTTGTCTCTCCTCTTAGGACTGAAAAAGGACTTGTGATCCCACAAAACTGTCAGCTTTTCATGGCAATAGATGTCACTACAATAGAAGATATTACACCTAATCTACAAACATTGTATTAAATATTAATCATTACTGGAGGCGGGGTTCCAAGCAACTTCTATCTGCTAGTCCCCAAAATTCATTTGGTAAGTAAATGAATGGACCTAGACAGTACTGAGTGGATGTAATGACACATGGAGTTTTTTGAAATGCAGCCTACTGTGGTCATGACCAGTGTTAGCAAAAAAAATCCATTTGTGGAGACATACCCAGCCAGGTGGACTTCACTGTGGGCAGCAGAACAGCTTATCACAGCCCAGCTGGTTTTGCTGCAAGTCATCACAAAATCAAAACCCTTGAAGAATAAGAAGGACAGCTTCCCCATTAATTTTCATTAGCTGTGGATATAAAATCTAGGAAGAGAAATTAAGGTAACTCTTTTACCTTATTCTGTTTCTTCCAGCACTGAGCCCCCACCACGGTAGTTCTCATGTTGCTTAGTGCAGGAGTCTGTAGTGGCAAACACTTGTTTGTGTTGTGAGCTCGGGGGCCTTTTGTGGGTGATCTCTATTTAGAGCCAGGTGAAGGAATTGGCCTGGAGTTTTGGTGAAATTATTAGAAGCTCTGCTAGCTGATGCTGAACGGTACTTGAAGCATGACCTAAACATGGTAAGGATGTGTAAAGGATCCCTTTTGAAGGCTGTGAAACCTACAATTGACACCTCCTTCTCAAAAATTCCAGAAATGGCAAAACCTTCTGCTCTGACTGTAAGCCCCAGAGTTTCATAGTTTCGGAAACATAAAAGTGTTGAAGCCTAAGTTTTTGAATTCACTGAAACTAATAGAAAATCCCTCGAGGAAACTTAATATATGGAGAAATTAGGCTTTCTGTTTTAAATAATGAGTAGGATGAATATTAAAGGAGATTGAGAACATTTACTTCTTTGTGAGGAAGCCTTTAATAGAATTACAGAGTAAATTCCACATGGAACACATACATAGCTCCCCTCATCAATTTTAATCCAAAAAGGGAACTATTATATTAGAAAGAAAGGGCAGTATCACACATAGCATTAAAACTGTCGCCAAAAGGTGTATAAATAACATGTTGCTTGTCTCAGCTAAATAGTTTTATTGTTCCATGAGGAAGCAAACCCAAAGCATTATGACATTAATGCCACATATTGGTTTACTGACAGATTTTTCAATATTAAACACCATACTATGGAGCCAAAACTTGACAGACTTAATTGCATACTTAAGAGTCAGACTAACTCACAGTTCGTTCCTTCTGGGATGGTGGCAGAATGGATGGAATTAAAGATATCAGTAGATTCATTGTAGTGGTTCTTTATTTTGTAATTATCTCCACAATGTTTATGCAGGGTCGTTTCTATAGTCTTCTAGTCAAGAGAACCCTGTAATTTGGGAAGAAATTGGCCATCATCAGAAAGAATATTTATGTGCCCTGTTTCTTGTTTCAGGCACAGTCCAGGATCTTTCAAACCAAGTAATGTCACTTAATGAAACAAGCATCACTCTATGCCTCCAAGCACCAAAAAACCTCCAGCTGCCCAGCCTGTTGTTCTTTCACAGCTGCTAATGACAGGACTCAAGCTCTTGTTTACTTCCAACAGGGATTTAGACATCAGATGAAGCAAATTTACAGCTCAGTTCACCTTGCCAAAATACTATGTTTGAACTGGGACAAGTTTCATCATGTAGAAAGAATAGGGGAAAGAATTGGGGAATTTTGATTTGGGATGATATAAAACATTCAGCTTACTTTTCAGAAGCACACTGATTCACACTATCAGGTAAATTGCAAAGTCAGCTGGATGGTTGTACACAGAAGATCACTACTTGCATAGAAATTAAAGAAGTGACATGGTTATGTGTTTGCTCTGTGTCTCTCCCTTACACTCATTGCTAACACATACTAATTATGACAGTGAGGCCTTAATTGGGAGTGAAGAGGCAGCAATTTGTGAAGTAGAGTTGCTAAGATTTACACTAGATTTAGTGTTTGGCGTCAAGTATTTGAAAGTGCTGGTTTGCATTTTGAAGTCCACAATCCTCAGCTTGCAGCCAGTTCACTAGGAGCAATCAGCACAGAGCATATTTAGATAGTCTGCCTGCCAGTCCTGGCTGGTTCAATTGTCAGGTACAAAGCTCCAAAGCTCCTGAAGGCTTGATGTCGCCCTGAAAACTCAGCTTCTGAGCTTGCTGACATAGTTTTCTAAGACTTTCCCAGGACAGTAACTGTAAACATAGATATGTGTACATTCTTTCTGTTACACGTCTTGTGATGGGCATCTCTCATGGCCAGTAAAGTGAGAAAGTGTTATCCTGACCATCCAATCCCTGGCTGTGGTCAGAAACCTATAAATCCTGGGAGAAGAAATAAACTTTCTCTTCCTTTCACCACACCTTGAGCTGTGTCCGTGTGATCTATTGATCTTCAGCGGCAACAGCTTGATACACATGGTGCATGCCCAGTGCTTGGGAATTGGAGAGCACAGGTAAGAAGAGAGTTTAAAAGCAGAATGAAAAGTTCCAGGACTGTCCCTTGTGCCTGACTGTAGAACACTGCAGTCTCAAAATTTAGATATTTCTATAGCAGCTTTTAAAATTATAGCAGTATATATCTTATTGTTGCTTTCAGTTGTTGTAAAAGACAACTTTCATTTGTATAAATTATTCTTTAAAGTGACCTCAAGCCTGGCTTTAAGGATGCAGCACAAATGTGATTTACCCTTGTCTATGTTGATCTGCTAAGAAAGGGAAATGAGCCCATTGCAGGACCACCTCAGCAAGGCAGATGTGTTTGTGCCTATCTATACACAACATCAAAGAACAGCTCTTCTATTGGAGGAGCATCCTGGAATCAGATGTAGAGAGGAATTTTGAAAAGGAATCTGGTTTGACTAACAAAGTTAACTTCTGCTACCAGTAACATAAGCTGATCTGGTTGAAATAGGTAACAGCTCAGGTATTGCTCCTTCTCCTCAGGTGTTCCTCTGTGCCTGTGATGATGAAAGTGTGTTATGCCAGATTTTATTAATTAACTGTTCCTGTGTTTTTTTTCTAGTACCTTTGCTTTTCTGAATAGTTACTAAGTTATTTGGTCTACTCATTTTGTGAGGGCTTAAATTTGCTGACCGTGTTCCTGCAGTAAGATTAGACATTTTATCTTTTCAGCTACTGATTTTAAGAGTCCTGTAGCACAGCAGCAGTGAAGACCAGAATCCTGTTAAGTACTGTGTTGAAGTAAAATCTGAAACTGTCTTCCCAAGAGAGTTAGAATGAAATCTAGGTGTATACGCATATACCTATGTGTGCACCTATACCTATCTACACATCTACACATGCACCTGGAGGTGTATGAAATAATGAAATGAGAGGGTGGAGTAATCATGTCAGTTTGCTGTAAATATGATATTTCAAGAGTTTGGGTAGCTGTAAATTAGCATCAAGCTAATCAGGGCTAGGTTACACTTGATTAGTGAGCTTTACTGCAGTGTTGCAAAAGGATGTGAAAGAAAGAAGACAATCATTTTATCCTGGCATAGATTTCTTCCCTTGTGCAAGAAAAGGGAAGCTTTATAAGAAGGCTGGTCACTTGCCATTATCTGTAGGATGAAGGCATGTGCAAGTTTCACTGTCTGATTCCAGCACAGGCCTTTTATAGGAAGGTATTAGCAAATAGTAATGATGCAATTCACTGTTTCTGGTATTGTCCATTAATCACACTGTGTCTGCAGAGCATGTGGCTAAAGGAATTTTTATTCTTGTCACTTGCAACCATTACTAATGATACCAGTGAAACTGGAAGTTCTTACTTAGAATCCAAGCCTTCACTGTAGCAAAGGTATGTATTTGTGGCACCAGAGGTGTGGCTAGAAGTCAACTGGGAAGTGCTACTGCCTGTACTTGACTAACCAAAGAAGCCACCAGAGATCTGATATGCTGCCATGTGTGCCTTGTGCAGAGCACAGTAGGTTGGGAGTCCTTTCTTTGGTGGGTTGTGTGAATTACCTGGTTAATATGAGGGAAGTTCACAGAGTACTCAGTATAGAACAGCTCCCCTGCCCATCGTGCACAGTCATTTAGATGGAGCTGGATGTGCAACTGAGAGACTTGGAGGGGGAGGAAGATCTCCACAACAAGTTGTTCAAGAAAATTTTCACATTGTACTATGAGCTACATAACAATGACCTTTATTTAATTTTCACCTTTGTAACTTTCAGAGTCGTTGTAATAACGATAGACTCTTCCACGGGGGGAGGTTAATGGGTTTGTTTACAAGCAAACCGAATAAAGTGAGGTATAAAGCAGATATTCAGCTGCCATTTTGGGGGCAGGGATTGTAATTATCAGACAAATACTAGACATTGTTCTTTATGGGACAATAAAGACATGTATGTGATCACTGAGGTATCTGCTGAGACAAGGAGTAGTATTGACTTTTAGAAATGGCTTCTGTGATCTTCTTGTGGATTTCTCTTCGAATCAGTCCAGCTGTCAGACTGTGCATCCCAAGGGAAGCTAAGTGAATGACCATGTAGCACTGGAGTAAAAGTTCCTTGAGTCGTTTAACACCTGCTTCTGCTGAGAAGGCTGTGAGACACAAAGTCTATATTCCTCTCGGGTTTTGCATCATTCTTTTCCCCTGGGTGTTTTCAGCTGAGCTTGCACATGAACAAAGATACATTTAAAAGTAGCTGGAGAATGGTTTGCAGATGCAGACTACAGCATGTATGTTGTGTTTTATAAGCAGCAAGCTGGGAGACCACATGGTGATTTGGTTAGAAGGGAGTCTAAGAACTGAGCTGATTTTATTTCTGTCTCTTCCATCAAATTGCTCTGTGATTGTCAGTGACTCATTGAGGCAGAAATCCAAATGTAGTTAAAATCAGACTTTTCATAGATTGTAACTGGAATTAGACAGACCCTTAAATATCTGAGTTTTGTGTTCCCAGTCCACAAATAAGCTATAGTGATACAATACAGTAAGTTTTGATGGTTGTGACATGCTTTCAAAGTCACAAATCATGACAAGAAAAGTGAAAATTGTTAATTATAATTAGTTGGGGTTTTTCCTAGGGAGCAAGTAGCCTAGTCACCAAGCCCAATGAGCATGGCATGCAAATTTAAGTAAAGAAAATAGTGGATAGAAAAATCATGTTTAATTGGACTCTGGTGAAGCTTTGGTGTGGTCAGTGGTGACAAGAACAATATCATACATATATTAAAAATCAGCAGTTTCACAGGATTCTTTCTACAAATGGCTTATGCCTTTAATAAACAGTTTTTTCCTCCAGATTTTTTTTCCTTGTTGAAGCTGCTGTCAGATTTGAAATATTCTATGATGGCACCCAAATGGTGTGATGGAATTCTAGAATGCACTCCTGGAATGGCTGGTCTTCCCTGAATGTGGTACAAGAGAATTGCAGGGTTTGAAATTACTTATAAAGGATGAAAAAAGGACATTAATAAAAGCAATCCTTTTGTTAAATTTCCTCTGTGATGATCTATAGGTAACCTAGAAAATGCTTACAGATCTAGAAACTATAAAAAAGCAACTAGAAAAAGCAAAAAACCCTCTTGGGAGTTGCTTTCAGACCTGCATTTCTGTTAGTGATTCAGAGACCATCATGGAAGTTGCAAAATTAAAGTTTTCATAACATTATATTTTATAGATTTTATGCAAAGATATGACCCGATATTTTGACATTTGAAATAGCTTATCAAGACAAAGAAGCTGACAGACTGTTTTAAAATACTTTCTGATTGATCTTGACAATAATCTGTGATTATTTCTGAGCTTCTGCTGTTGATTTTAAATTAGTGAAGCTTAGGTCTTATTGCTTGGGCAAGTTATGAAAATGCCATGGGCTACTTGATAAGTTGGTAGTGCCCTTGATCACTAACTGTACTTACAAACACATTACCATTGTCATTTGGATAACAAATTATCTCTAAGACAACACCAGGGTAATCTGATTGACCTTTTACAACTACTTGTGCTTTTATTGAAAAATAGTAACTCCATCTTCACTGGAATCACTTTCAGTTCTGCTTGGGGCTGGGTACAGAGCAAAGCAGCTGCGTGGGATGGATGAAGGTATGTACCAGTTTACTTGAAGGTAATCTATTGGTCAACAGAGTCTGTAATGAGGAACTGGAAATCTCTGCTAGATGAATGCTAAGTTAAAGATACTTACATCTGTGAGTCTGTTACATAGTTCAGCTGGAATTGTGCTATATTAATATTTCACATCTCTAGCGGAAACTTGCTTTTATAAGTGATGGTCCAGCTACTCTTTAGCATGGTGCAATGGAAAGACTCTGGAGACTTCAGCCCAGCAAATTGCCCTGTCCTTAGTTCTGAATGCCTTTGTCACCTCTGTGATGGACAGGAGGAGCTCTGATCTATTTAAGCACAAGGTCTTCACACAGTTCTGCAAAGTGAAAAGTTCTGTACATCCCTTATAATTTCTTCATATGAGCACATCACCTCAGGTTCAGGATCTGACAGGTTTTCCAATAGTAAAAACATTTTTTAAGGCTCCTGCATCAAGACTGGCATAATACCGTGTGTAAATTGAGGAACAGAGGTAATATTGCAGAGATCCATTTAAAAGTGTTTACATTACATATTTCTATTTCCTGTCTGCAGTGTCAGACAGGTACCTAACTTAGAAAAAAAAAAATGTGTGTGAGACTACCAAGAGAAAGTTAGATTCTCTACTTAAAGTGCTAGAATTCTAGTGTTGATGAAAGATAATATGGATTTTGCCTTCTAAAAGGAAAACTTAGCATCCCTCTACAGGGGCTATAACTTATCAGTTGTTGATACCCTCAAGAGTAGGCTTTACCTTGGTGTTAAATAGAGCATTCCATACAGCATAGATGTAAAATGGCATCAAATCCAAAGAGCAGGGTCTTGCAGGGAGCACTTTCTGGCATGCAGGCTGCCTGGAACTGGCATTAACTCTGTTCCAGCCAGACCCAGTACAGCAGTGTTTACAGAGGAGCTCTGAACTATACATAAAGAGGGCTCTGAGTTAGGCTGTTATTTTCCTGGTTTAGATAAAGAAGCCAGTTTTGCCAGTCAAGACAGGTGCAATGCTCTCACTCTGTAGCAGACTTAAATTGAAAGGTTACTAAGTCCTTTTCAGCCTCAGGAAGATACAGACCATTTAATTACAAGGTTAGTGATCTACAGTAGTAGAGAGTTTAGGGACCTTATGAGGTGAAACAGTATTTGATTACACAGTAGATTATGGTTTATTTGGACTTCTGCTTCAGAATATGAACTACAAGGTGATATAGTTTGGACCTGCCTACTTAATAATTTAGTAGACTACAAGTTCTGCTGGCTACAAGTTTTGTTACCACTAACTTCTGCTGTTCAGAGTTCTCAGCTGCCTGACCAATTGACAACACAAAAAATTAAAACCAATGTAATGGCAGTGACTTTACAGTTAAGTGGTGACATTTTCAAAGGGTCATCTTTCCCATGTAAACACAAAGGAAGTAGCTAGGTTTGCTCAAGTAGTTATTGTCTTGGTCACTTTGGTCCTTTGAAGATCTGACAACATATGGAACAATGGCAGCCTCTAGAACCGGGTACTGTCGTCTTTTTCTGAGAGCAGAAGCAGAGCCCTAGTATAGCATGTGAATCAACTTCAAACCTTGAAACTGTATAGATGTAGAGTAAGTTTGTGATTGTAGCAGAATTTAAGTGCCATCTCCTAGGAAACCAAGTGAAAATATTAAGTTAAATGAATGATATTGCGCCATCTTGATATCACTAAAGGTTGCTAAAAGGTCTTTGCTTATTTAATGTTTATCTACTTCAGAAAATATATTAATGTCTGAGCCAGGTAAGGAAACCTGGTCTGACTGGGTGAGACTGGAGGAAGCAGCTGTGAAGGGGTCTCGGTCCCAGCTCAGGTGGTGCAAGTGTGAATGCCAGAGTGGCTCCTGGATGGTCAGACAGGGAAGTATTCTTAACACTGGTAAGAGGATTGTACCTGCAGGTGCTGCTGTGCTGTTCTGAGGCCAGTGAACCAAAGGGGAGCTATAGCCATCCTATTATCTTTAACTGGTATAAAGTAATATTGTCCTTGTGTTATTGAATTTTCAGCATCCAAATGATGATGGAAATTTTCCAACCAGATGGGCTTTCTCCAGGGTCCTTGCAGATGTTTCTAATTAATGTGACTGTGCCTGAACAACTTTGTCTCAATTCCATGGCAGTTCTCCTGGTGCTCAGGAGTGTAAGAGTTTAGGCTTGGCTTGTTCAAACTTGTTTTTTTCTTATTCCAATAATGTTAACACAAACCCTGTAGCCTGTCTAGCAATGGGAACAGAGCACAAATAACAAACAGTTTGTGTTTTTAAAGAGACTTAAATATCCAACTAAGGAAAAACAATCAATGACAGTTTAGGTGCTTCTGACTGAACAAGATGTCTTTAAATTAAGTCTCACATCTCATATGAGACTTGAAAACAAGAACACTCTGACTTCTTAATTTAGCCACTGAAGAGCGAAGAATGAAGTTTGAGTTGTTTGGCCAGGTGACATGCATGCTTCCACCGGGGTTCTTCAGCAGGGGAGCATCTTTCCTTGGGCATCTGTCACAGTGAACAAACTGCCTTTAGGGGAGCAGAAAGACCAGGGAGAAAACTAGAATACTCAACTGGTGACCCTGAAATTAAATAGCAGTTGGTGATAATTTTCTGATTTTTTTCTTCATTCGAAGAACTCACTAGTTTTAGAATGAATTGGTGGTGCAAAGGTTGCAGCACAGCCACACAGCAGGAGGTACTGTGAGTAGAATTTGGGCAGCTGGTGTTAGACTAGTGTTATCTGTGTCACTGTTAACCATAATCAGATCTAATTGCACATAATCACTGAAAATACATTCTCATTCCTCTTTCTTCCTATCCACACTGCTCCAAATTCTTCTTACATAAATTGTAGGGACTGCTCAGCCCCAGTTCATTTAATTCAGCACACTGATCAGATGGATCAAGAAGGGTCAGAATTTGGCACAGAGCTAGGCATTCCCATGACAAAGACTGAAATGATACTCTGCTTTCATCCTGATGTAATAAGACCTGCTTCTCAGTGCAAGTAATTTTAGGATGGCAACAAATTGTGTTGTTGATCTTTGCTTATTTTGTCAAGGGTGGATGTGATGTTATCTGTGTTTTTAGAAAAAACCTGAATAAATGAAATGTATTAGTATTAGGAATTGAAAGCCTTTTGGACCTGCTACTTATCTGAGTCAGGAAAGGGGAGCTGCCAAGTTGCTCTCATAATTATCAAAAAGTTAGATCTTGTATGGAAATAAGAAGCCAAAGTAATTAAGAGTTCATTTGCAAAGCAAGCAAAGGTAACAAACTTGTTTGATTTCTCACACCTGCTCTCCACATCAGCAATATAATAAAGCAAGGCATAGTTAATGCACTTTTCCCCAAAATTGATACTGCACTCTAGGGAATATGATCAGCTAAGGCTTTGGAGATCACACCACCGTTTGCCCAATTATACCTAATGGCAACACATTGTTCCAGCAAAATGTGTCTATTCTTTGATAGGTTACATTTCCTTTCAGCCTTTTACCTATTGATCCAGTAGTACCTCATGTAGAACAAACTTCTTTGTTGGCAAGTCATGTTTATGTGACCAGAAAAATCTTTTATGTTACATTTTTAACATCTGACCAAATCAGTGAGAGGAAAAGCTTCTTGTATGGAACATGACAAATTTTTGTGATTTTTGTAAAACACAGCAATAAACTGAATTTCTGTATGATTTGGGCTATACAGATAATTCATGTTATGTGTTCACTATTTCTTTGTGTACTTTCTTCTTTGATGTCATAAAGCATCTTAAACTATGTCTGCATTACATAGCAGAGTAAGTGATCACTTTAATCTTGTACTCCAAGTAAGTATATACTCACTTCATTACAGAAAATTAGATGTTTGCTCAGCAAAGCTGCAGCATCATGAATTGCAAGGCATGTTTACTTTTGTTTTTTCCCTGTGAAAGTGGAAAAGCTTGAAGAAAGCTGGTGAAATTATGTATCCCCGACTTAAAACACTTAAAACATTTTTGTGTCTACTGTGAGTGTTCATGATGACAAATGTAGGCTGATGAGTAAGAGCCAGGTTGGGTTCTGGTTGCTCTCACAAATTATCTCTCCAGAAATTTTTTAAATAGTTATAAACTGCAACAAAAGAAATAGTTTTTTTAAATGCAGAACCATATCATGGTAGCTCACTACCACCATTCAGCACTTTCTAGTTGAATTACTGCTGTGGTCTCCAGACCCTTTGGAGTTTAGCCTTAAAAATTTTCAACCTCATCATTATTGCTGTCCTTCCTTCCTTACAGTATTTCTCTTGAAGTGCTCTCTGTATGCTGGCCTCTTTCTTGTGAGAACCTCCAATTTTGTTCTCATAAAATTTCTTACTAGTAAATTGAGCTGGGGGAGTATACATGGGCTTTGTACTTCCCTTGTGAAGCCTGAAAGTTGTGAGTCTGAGAAATGTAGCTGAGTGCACTGCTCACTGCTTGAATCCATTTTGCCTCCTCCACAGCCTTCATTTTCTGTAGGCATCCTCAGAAAGATGGCAAATCTGGCACTTTTAACTTACAGGAAAACATGAAACCATGTTTTTTTTTTCTCTCCCAGTGTATGAGAACTGGGAGTTTTGCATTCAATGTCACAAAGAGAGAAACTCATGCCACCAAATAATTTCTCCCAAGCTGTCTGAGTATTTGTCTCGGTTTTAGGAGACAGGTGTCTGCTAGGGAGGGCAGGAACCTCCCTTGGAATGAAAAATGTAGACCCCCTCCCTCCGAATTATAATTCTGAAATTAAGGGGCTCTCAGGCAGAGATCTGGGGGTAGGAATAACAGTTCTTTACTAGTATGTATAACAAGGTAAACAAACAACAATAACTACAGCATTAGCAAGAAAACAGAACCAGGGACCCCATGACAGCTTTCTGGGCTGAGATGGGAAAGGATGGAGGAAGAGGCTTTGTTTCACAAACCCCCTCGGGTTGGCAGTCAGTGCTGGTGCTCCTGCAGGGCTCTGAGGAACACTCAGCTGGAACAGCAGGGATGAGCTGAGATCCTGGGCCGGTGGCTGAGGTGGATCAGCAGCTCAGGTGGATCAGCAGCTCTGCAGTGGTGGGTGGCACTGCCACATGTCCCGGCAGGGCAGGGGGTGCGAGGCCACCAACGAAGAGGGAAGAAGGAGAAGAAGCAGCAGCTCTGTCTGGGTGATGGCAAAATTCCCTTCTCCCCACAGCAACAGCTCCATGCCCAAAGTGTCTTTCTCTGAAGCTGAAGAAGCCACCAAACTGTCCCCACCCTCCCCTTTTCCTGCCCCCTTCCCCCCCTGAGCCCGGCCAAACTCTGTGTTTTACAAGCACCCACCAAGTACCCGCAGTTAGGTTTTCCCCGCAACTAATGACTAAAAATTCCACAGGCAAGCCAGAACTAAAATAAGGACACCTAACCCTCAACAGTATTGATCCTCTGTTCTTAAGTAAACCCTATAGTTAATCATAATAATTCTGAAACATCTCATTCAAGTGACTGGATCAATAATGTCTTTGATGGTCTCCTACAGTGTTTTCCTGTCATTCCTTGGGACCTCTCTGTCACCTACTGTTCTTCCAGATCCCAGTGCAATAACCTGCTGCAGTGATGAGAATGCTGTTAGCCCCCACTCACTTAGGACTCAGCCAGGAGGATGTGGATGTGGCCTGGGATGACAGTGTAATCAATGTCCCTGTGAACTCCACACTTTCCCTCACTCTGCGGCTGGGAGATTTCCCCCCAATGTCACAGTAGTCCCACCTAATGCCCATAGGATGATTGTAATGAACCTGCCTTTGAGCAGAAATACAGATAAAGATCCAAGTTCCCCTCCTCATTCAGAAGTTCAGAGTAAACCTATCAGAGAGCAGTGAGTCCAGGGGCTCGCTGAGGGATGGAGGGCCAGGATTGAGTGGCCACAAGGCAGGCGGGGCAGGGCCCTCCCACTGCGGCACCTGAGGGCACACCTGTGTGCAGGGCATAGGTCGGGACTGACAATGGCAGCCAGGGTCAACCAGAGCATCAGGGCAGTTTGTGGTGACAAGGTCCAGCCAGGACATCAGTCTGTGGGTCAGGGCCAGGTCTAGTGACAGTAACCAGGGTTACAGGGTCAAGTGATTGCCAGCCAGGTCCATAGATTCAAGACAGGTGATCTGGGTTTGATAGACCTGGCCACAGCCTCTGGGCCTCTCCTGCTAATCCTGCTCAGGTGCTAGGGGAGGCCTGGCCTTTGGAGGCCTCTGCCTTGCCACGTGTGCTATGGTGTTCATCTCCTGGCTCTCCCTGCTTTATTGAGCAGCCAGCCCTTGCTGTGCCCTTTTTTTACCCTTTCTCTCTTTCTCCCATTGTAAAACATGCTGCTTAGGGATGGGAAGATGTCTGAGCAGTCAGACAATTTTAAAGATGGAGTTGCAAAACAGAATAGTGCTGTGTTGCCTGCTTATCCAGAGTTAGATGTGTCAATATTAAATAATTTCTGAAACTTTCTGATAAACAGGGCTGGTTGCATGTTTGTTATATAGAAGCCTTGATCATTCAAAAATTGCCAAGGATGTGGGTTTTCTGTGGGGTTTCTTAAGTTTCTCAGGGATGTAGTTTCTTCTTTTTGTACTACTTTGGTGATATGAATCCCATCTTGTTCAGATGTAGTTTAGAGAAAACAACTATGTATACTATAAGTTCCCATAAGATCTGGTATAACTGTATCCTCATGAAAACTTTTAAGTACTGATGCCTCCCACCAACTTCAAAGGTTTTAGCTCACACACCTGGAGAGTAAGAAATATTTGTATTTGCCTTAGAAGTATTAACATATAAGTCTGTAATGGTATTGCAGTGAAAACGCTTATACAAAGTGTAACTAAAATTTTAAAATATACCTTGCCCCATACTCTCTTAGACCTCCTCACGTGAAAGCAAAGATGCATTCTTAGATCATAATCTGAGAACCTTCAAGACAAAGCCCACAATAAGATTTTGTTCTGAGGGAAGGATGTCAGGTGGGAATTTGTTCTCTTAGCTGCATTATTAGTCAACAGTCTTCCTAAGGTTGTAAAGTACCTTTACTGAGCTCAGAGCAAACATTTTAAGGTATGCTTTAGGGTGAACTAGTGAATTTCTTACTTACCTGCAAATCATGAACTGAGCATGGCCTAACATGTTCCCACACTTTGTTCTTATGATGTGATTTTACTCCAACCTTAATTCCATGCTGGTTAATTAACTGGAGTATGTCAAAGGTAATTTTACATTAATGCACTGGAATTGAACTGTGTAATATTGCATAGCCTTTTTGCAGCAGTCCAAATGGAAGACAGTTAAGGGCTCTAAAATATGGCGCATCCCTAGATGTACCATTTAAAAATCTGTAGAATGTAATTTTAATCCTGGATTTAAATATCCAAAATTCAGATGTCATCCAGATCTGAAGTCAATGACCTAAATTCATCATAAAGTCCAGCATCAGTTGTTCACCTTGGGCTATCCCTCAGTTCCCCTATATTCTGCACTTCAGGGCACACAGTGCATAATGCAGTTCTTCACCCAGTCTTAACTCCCTTTTTCTCTTTCATATACACAGTTAAAATGGAAGACAAGGGAGAAGTGGAAAACAAGGACTTCCCTGCATTCTGTCTCAGACTCCAACATTCTTGCATTTCTTTTTTTCCCAGCCTGATTTGTGCTTCTAGGCAGACTCTGAATATTCAGGTCACACAGTACTGGCAAAGCTGAGCCTACCCCAGCAGTCTGTTGAAAATGGAGAGAACATGCTCAGAACAAGTCTGTCCTTCACAGTCTGTTCCCTGAACCAGCTCATTGGGCCTGAATAACTCAAAGGCCTGCAGTTTCCACATTTCATTTGTATCCCAGCATTTTAGTGGATAGAAAGTTCTTAGGTATTGCAACTGCAGTTCGCAAAGAACTTTGCAAGGAAAAAATGCAGAAATGTATTTGTGAATTTATAATAGTTATGTTTGATTATTGATTTCTAACTGACCTGAATCTATGTTTCCCAAATCCATCTTAGCACTAAATTGATTTGAATAAAACTCCACTTTTACTACTTCCTCCCCCCACTCCGTATTTGTAATTCAGTGTTACAAGCTTAGCTCCTTGTATAACCTCTATATGGACATGAAGTGTGAGGCAGGACAGACACATAGATGGCAAAAGCAGCTGCTGACAGGAGCGTGCAAACTGGTAATGAAGCTCTTGTGGTCCCTCCAAGGATGGACACAGTCACTCTGAGTGATGTAGTGCTGTTGGGTACTTTTATAGGCGTTCAGACTAATGAGTGGTGTACTAGCACTTGGTTAACTGTCGGTGGTAATGACGTAGCTGAGTACTGCATTAGAGGGGCAGTACAAACTCCCAGGAACAACAGCAGGTTCCCAACTGGAACAGGGCAGTGCCTGCCCACTCCTTTCTGTGGTAGAGGGACACCACTTGGCTACCCAGTCTGAGACACATGCTGTGATTTATTTCACTTGCAGATCCAGCCCACATGGGATCCTGAAACCTCTGTTCTGATGCAGCAGTGCTGTGTGCCTTTCCCACTCGTCCAACAGTGACCTGCTACCAAAGGTTTCACTACTTCCCCACTTCCTCAGTTCAGGCATTCTTCCCTTTTTGTACAATGGAAGGATTAAACCATTTCTCTCTTGATTCTCAGACAGGAGATCAACAAAGTTTGAGTTTTGTTGTTTTCTACAGAAAATAATACTTGTGTCGAGTAAAAGTGCAGATTACAGGTCAGTAGTAAAGAGTAAAGGGCCAGTATGAAAGTCTAGCCCAGACAATGGATCTGAAACAGGTGTTTCAGCCCTAATATGAGTGTGCCCTGTCCCTGGAGCTATCGGTATTTGCGATCTGCCGAGTGTGTGTCCATAACACCTACTGCTGGTGCCGCTCAGTCGCGGTTCGGTCCCAGCTCAGTCCCACTCCCGTTCCCTGCCCAATCCCAACCCGGTCCCAGCCCGGTCCCTGCCCGTTCCCTGCCCGGTCCCTGCCCGGTCCCTGCCCGGTCCCTGCCCGTTCCCTGCCCGGTCCCTGCCCGTTCCCAGCCCGGTCCCTGCCCGTTCCCTGCCCGGTCCCTGCCCGTTCCCTGCCCGGTCCCTGCCCAATCCCAACCCGGTCCCAGCCCGGTCCCAAC